CACGTCCAACTTTGGTGATGATGTAATAAGTTGCCCAGATTGGTCCGATGAGGGGAATTACCTTAAAAGTCCCTCACTTTCGAACCCTCCTCTCTCTTCTTCTTCTGCTTCTCATCCTTCTTCTTCTATGTCTCCTGCAGATACCACCTTAAAATGTCCAGACTTCGAGGCTTTCAACAGAGAATTTGAAGGAACCAACATGAGCAGGACACATAGGAGGCAGTTAAAAAAGACACTGGCCAGGCAACAGGATTCTTAATAGTTGCTGACGCCGTGGCAGCTCGAGCTAAGACACAACCAACTTCCTCCCCTAAGAAGCATAAGAAGTCAAAGCCAAAGAGACCTCAGTGGCCTCTTGAGCCTGAATTTGAGCAAAGATTGAGAGAATCTAGAGGGCAGAGTTTCTATTCCCAGGAAGCTTGCTACATGATACAGACATCACCAAGCACGGGGTAAATAAGCCTAAGATCGGGGAAAACACTGTAGCCTTCACCTCAAAAGTCAGGCATCTTGAAGTTTCCTAGTCCACCACTTCTCCCTCACCTGAATACTTCAAGAAATCCACCCATCCTACAGCTCCCTAGGCTTCTTCCTCCCCCAAATTCCATGGACAATCCACTCGTCGTCCAATTCCCTATGATGTCACTGGTCCCATACACCTAGCCACCTCCTAAGCCCCAACCTCAAACCTCCATCACCCAAACCAAGCCCACTGTGCAATCAAGTCAGCTAGCAGGCCAAAGAAAACCTCCTCCACCTAAACTTGCTCCTCAACCCAAACCGACGGCACGACCAAGAACATAAAAGGTTGTCGACCAAAAAGTGAAATATGATGTGATGGGGCACTTAAGGAAACTTCCGACCCTTCTTAGCATCTACGATGCTCTTATGCTCTCAAGGGACTATCCTCACTCGGTTGGGACTAGGTTATGAGGATCTCACTTCGACGCATGTCACAGTCCAGCGATTCAACCAGTCAGGAGAGAAGTTGGCTGGTACTGTCCGCCTTCGTCTCAAGATTGGTGAATTAAACGACTACTCTCAATTTCATGTGATCAACATCGACACCTCCTACAACATCCTTCTCGGCCACCCGTGGCTCCATGATCAGGGGGTCGTTACATCCACATTACATCAGTGTTTTAAGTATAGCCGAGATCGGAGACATCATATAGTCTATGACGATAAAAGACTGTTTTCTGTAGCTGAAGCTCACTATGCAGATGATAAGTATTACTTCACAGACTCAGTATCACCCCAAAAGCCAAACGATGGTGATTACAAGTTTGCAAGAAAGACAGAACCTTCGTCCCATGAGGATTTTGAGGACATCGGGCGAACACTGGTGGACATGTTCAAAGAAGAGGAAAGACAAGGCAAATTTCTCCCTTTGACTCCTCTTCATCCTAGCATGCTATCCACTACCCCTGAAGAAGCTTCATCTTTGCTTAAGGATGAAGCTTCCCCTTCTGCTTCTAGTCCCGAGCCACCTTTGCCAGAAGATGAACCAGAGGTCACTCTCTAAAGGTCACCTACACACTGGACCATCAAAAGTCTTGCATGTCCCTATTACACTCTTGACAGCAGAAGTGGCACGCCAACCTCCGCGAAAGATTTTCCAAAACCCGATGGCTATAAGCATGGAGGATGCTCCTCATCCCATCGCAGGGCCAACTCAGACCAATAGTCAACCACAAGTTCTACACTTCCCTGATTTGATGGTAGGAGAGCGGTTTGAGGAAGGACATCCTCTTTGCCCCCAGGAACAGGATCCCCTAGCAGAGATAAGAAGCGGGGTTCACAATCTCCAAAGCTAATTGGAGGTTATGTGTATCGCTTCAAAACATCTGAAGGAGTTCGTACCTGAGACAAAAGCTACGACGTGCTTGAAGTGAATATACCTCGAATGGAGGCCAAAGCCCCTCCTGATTGGACTATTTATAGTGAGCAGGCTTATCCAATGATTAGGAAAATGAATTATGAGCCCTGGACCAATCAAATATTAAGGGGAGAAAAAGCAGTTGCTCCCCCATTTGAAGTCATTGAAGCGACAACAGCTTGTCATAGGACTAAACAAGGCCTAGGGTATTAGCTACTTGAGACAATAAACATTTCGAAAATTGCTCAAGCCCAAAAAGAGCAAAGGAGGTGCAGCAAAGCAAAAAGAAGAATGAAATTATGCAACAAAAACATCTAGAAGAGAAGGATAAGCATTTTATTCATAAATTAATTTTTTTTACATGTGACGACAAAGGAATGACACTCTTAAAAACGATCAATGATCTTATTGATCTCTGCTCTAGATGTGGCGGAAGAAGTCTCGAAATGCTGGATACACTCCTTCAACTCGACCACCATTTGAGTTTCCTACTCCATGGAGGAGATTTCTGATTCGATGGTGCGAGTGAGTTCGCATAGCTCCTAATAGCATGTGGATTGTAAAGCATGCATACATTAGTAGAAGCATTCGAATACCCAAGTGCCTAAATGGTGAACTTTTGTACAATTGAATTAGCAAAACATAGCATATATTCTAGACTACCAAATAAGAAGCAGAGGCCATTGAAACACATGCCACAACATATATACCCAAGTGGCTGATGTTAACACACGCCACAACATGCATTAGCCACAAACATGAAAGATCAGTATAAAGGAGATAAGTTGCGGGCTCAACCAATGTGGCTCATCAATGTGGCAAATTTTTTTGTGATATATTAATTTGTATAGAATTCTTATGATCGTAGTTTTCTCACTCTGTGTAACACATTCAATCACTGAAAATTCAATGATATATTATTTTGTACATAATTTCTATGATCATAGTTGTGTTTCTCTGTCTAACACATTCAATGACTGAAAAACCAAAACCCCAAATGTGGCAAAAAATTATGTGATATATTAATTTGTATAGAATTTCTATGATCGTAGTTTTGTTGCTCTGGGTAGAACATTCAATGACTAAAAAACCAAAACCCCCAAATGTGGTATTAATTTGTACAGAATTTTTATGATCGTAGTTTTGTTGCTCTATGTAACACGTTCAATGACTAAAAAATGAAAACCCCTAAATGTGGCAAAAAAACCAGGCATTTCATATACACGATTCAGTTTTCAATGTAGGTATTTGTGATAATGCAAGCATCTTCCAATGTTGGCATTTCATTAACGCTAGAAATAAAATAAAATGTATGACCACATTTTCATTTACTACAATATGCTTTAGATTCAAAATGGATGAAGGAGCTTAAGAAAAAAAAAGATAAAAAGATGAAGCAGCAAACGTATCCATACCTGAAATGGTCTCAAAAGTGGAAATCATGGCTCTGGAATCATCATTGACATTAGCACAACCGCTTGCCGTGGAAATCACGGCTTTGGAAATCAACTGCTGCTATCGCGCCTCAGATGTGGGCCTCTCTGTTGCTCGGTTGATGCCTGAGAGAGGGCTACCTGCTTAGAGAGAGAGAGAGAGAGGACGGTCTCTACACTGCTGCTAGTCGCGCCTCGCGTTGTGTACGTCGTTTCGTCGTCGTCGACCCGTAGTTCGTAGTGGTAGACGGA